TTATTATTAATATTATTATTATTATGCTATTTAACTTGTAATGCCATTTACTAACAGAAAGGAAAAGTATTTAAAATAAACATTTCTATGCAAACAACCTAACAAATCCATTTGTCAAATTGGGCCCATTCAGAGGAAATAAATTGCTGCTGAGATAGAAAGTCCAACACTGGGTACCACTTCCCAACAAACCGCTCCTGTGTTGAATTCTGATGTGTAACATCTAATTTACTGGTAACTGCATCCATAAGATAATGGTTCCACAGTTTTCGATACCAAACTTCAATCGTTGGTTTTTTGGTGTCCTTCCAAAAGTTAGCTATCGTGGTTTTGGCAGCATCCAGCATAACCTCAATAGTTGCTTTATGTGGTCTTTCCGCCAAGTCAAGTAAGTCTAACAGCATTTCTTATCAGTGGGTTACAAGGTGTACCCTATTGGTGGGCATCAGGACCCCCTCCCTGCTGGGACAAGTCTGGGGCAAGGGATGCTCTGTCTTCTTGGTGCTTGGGGGGGGGTAACAGTGGGAGGGCTTCTGGTGTCCTGGCTCCACTGCTGGACCTACTGACGGCCCCTGGTATTTCTGGCCACTGTGTGACACAGAGTGTTGGACTGGATGGGCCATTGGCCTCACCCAACATTGGCTTCTCTTATGTCTGGGGCAAGGGATGCTCTGTCTTCTTGGTGCTTGGGGGGGGGGAACAGTGGGGCAGTTTCTGTCAGAGCTCTCTCAGCCCCACCTACCTCACAGGGTGTGTGTTGAGGGGAAGGGAAAAGGAGTTTGTAAGTTGCTCTGAGACACCTTTGGGTAGTGAAGGGCTTTGGGTAGTCCATCAGTGGCTATTAGCCACAAGGTATAGATAGGGGTTCTGGGACAAGTGATGCTCTGTATTCTTGGGTGCTTGGGGGGGCAACAGTGGGAGGGCTTCTCGTGTCCTGGCCCCACTGGTGAACCTCCTGAAGGCACCTGGTATTTTTGGCCCCCACTGTGTGGCACAGAGTGTTGGACTGGAGGGGCCACTGGCCTGATCCAACGTGGGTTTCTCTCCGATGTTCTCTTGTGTTCTTATACTGATGCATGGCCTTGAGAGCAGAGGTCATCCACGGGGCAGGGGTGGACTCCTGGCTTGCCGGGGAGGCGGAGTCTGCAGAGTTCTGGGCAGCGGCAGCCAGCGACCTCAGCGGTGAGGTCACAGACCCCTGGTTCTGCATCAGAAGGTTGTTGGAGCACCCGGGGAGGGCCAGGGAGGGGTGGGGAGAAGAGGGAACCCAGAGCTTGCTCGGTGACTGAGTGAAGACGCCAGCGCTCCTTCGGGCTGGGATGAGAACGCGCTTCCATTCAGCCAAGAGGAAGGATCTTGTCCGAGAGCCTGTGGTTGTTCTGAGAAGGACGCATCGAAGCTCGGCAGCATTATGGTCGAAAGCCAGAAAATCCCCGGAGTCGACCTCGGGGCCACCACCGAGCCTCAAGTCGTCCGCATCCTCGTGAAGGCGCCCTGGCAGAAGGAAGAGTTCCTCGTCCACCAGGACATGCTTGTCAGAGAGTTTAAGGAACACGTCGGCCGGCATTTTGCCTCTTCCCCTGACCGGGTCGTGCTGGTGTACGCCGGAAGGATCCTGAAGGACCACAAGACCCTTGGCCAGCACAGGATCCACCTGGACGAGGACGCCACCGTCTACGTGGTCATCCACCGGATGCCTCGACCCCGGCACGCTTCGGCAGTCCTGACCCACTCCGCCCAGGATCAGAAGCCCCTTCTGCGTCATCCTTTCGCCAGCGACGGCCTTCGGGAGCTGACGGCCAGCCTGGGCCTCCACACGGCCAATTTCACGGAGTTCCAGACCCACCTCATGTCCAACCCGGACCTGATGCTCCAGCTCCTGGAGAACCCCTCCATCCAGAGCAAACTCTCCAGCCCGGACCTGATGAAGGAGCTGGTCACCAACAACCCCCAGGTGCAGCAGGTGATACAGAAAGCCCCCGAGATCAGCCGCGTCTTCAACTCCCCGGAGGGCATGAAGCTGGTCGTGGAGCTGGCCAGGAACCCAGCGGCCCTGCGGGAAATCATCAAGCCTCCGCCTCAGACCTTGAGTTTCCCCAGCGGAGACGGCAGCGGCTCCCTGCAGGGCCCTTTTGTCGAGCTGCTGCAGAAAGGCCTTCCGAAAAAGCTGCTGGTGCTCCCCACGGGGGGCCACCCACCCACCCACCCCAGTATCCGGCCTCCGAGGCAGGTTGCCCAGAGCATGGCCGCCGGCAGCAGTGACCAAAGCCACGGGGAAAGCAGGGCAAGGAAGGAAGAAACCGGCCAGCTGGTCTCCACCACCGTGAAGAACCTCCTCCATCAAATCATACGGCACCTTCTGGAGAGCGTCGCCGGCAACCCCAGCAGGAGCGTCGCCGGGCAGGGGCTCGGCCACGCCCCAGAGCTGGTGGCCAAGATGATCCGAAAGAACACCGCGGTGCCCAGGAACGTCCGAGAGCAGGCCGCCACGCATGTCCCGGCGCTCCTGCAGCAGATTCAGAGCACGGACGTCTTCTGGGCAAACTGGACCCCCAAGGAGATCCAGGGGCTGCTGGAAATTCAGCAGCGGCTGCAGGCCCTCGCCGCGGATGAGCCGGCCAAGAAGCCCACCGCGCCGCCAGCGCGGAGGGCCCACTCCAACACCTCTCTCTGCGATGCGGCCCCTCCTGCCTCTCGGGTGGGGCATCAGGGCTTCTCCTCCACCCAGCAGCTCCTGCAGGTGCTGGCGGGGGCGGATTGGGTGGCCGGCACCAAGCCCGTCAGCAGCCTGCGGGGCTCCTCGGCCCAGCCCCCCACCAAGCAACAGCGGCCGTACCAGCTCTGAGGCGGAGAAGGGAGGAAGGGGAGAGAGCGGTGGGGAGACCCACGGCAGGCGGAGCTTCACACGAGGATAAGTTTCAGGATTTCAGATTAAAAGGCTTTACGTATTTCAAAAGATGGCTGGTGTCGGTTTCGCTCGGGGTGTGGGGGGGTCCTGGGGAGCAGCCGAGAGGGCCCTCTCTGGTGGCTTTCAAGGCAGTAGCTCTTGAGAGAGCCAGAGTGGAGTGGTGGTTAAGAGTGTTGGAGAACCAGGCTTGGATCCCCACTCCTGCCATGGAAGGTCACGGGGTGACCTTGGGCCAGCCACACATTCTCAGCCTGATAAGAACATAAGAGACGCCAATGTTGGATCAGGCCAAAGGCCCATCCAG